TCTGATAAAATTTAGGAATTTAATTATTTAGAAATTTTTTTATAAATTTCTACCCAATAAATAATTTATATTCATAAATAATAAAATTGTTTACAGGGATTCAATTATTCTCATAAATATATAATATAGGTACAACTAGCAACTAGCAAACTTCTTATTACCTTTTTTAAGTAAAATTAGCAATTTTAAAAATAGAATTTGAAAATTTTTTAATTCAAATTTTTGTTGAAAACACTAAAAAAATTCAATTTTGTAGAAATTACAAATCATTGCAGAAATTCAATTATTTAAAAAAAAATAATAATAAAATTCAACTATGTTCAAAATTTGAAAAAAATTCTCGTACAAATCCCAATTATCTTTATAAATAACAAAATTCTTCTCTAAAGTTCAATTATATTCATAAATTTCAAAAAAATTCTTGTCCTAATTTCAATTTATTATTTTCAAAAATAAAATGCATTTTTCTAATTTCAATGATTTTCCATATCTCTACTATTTTAATAAAATTTCCCAAAAAGAATTCAATTATTTAAAAAAATTTTAATAAAATTGTATGCAAATGCAAACATTTAATTATTTTCATAAATAATAAAAATTTCACAGAAATTCAATTATTATTTTCATAAAAAATAATTTAAAATTCTAGAAGTTAATAATTTAATTAAAATGATGAAAATAATTTTGATGAAGCTACAGTAACAATATTCTTATAGGTATAAAATGATGATTTTATCTCTCGGTCATCTTTAATTTATTAGAAAACATGAAGAAATCGATCACTGAGCAATTGATATCTTCATGTTTTATAAACAATACTTTTATAAGTTGTTTAATTTAAAAAAGGTTTGAATTTTGAATTTTTGAATGTCTTAATTCCTGTGGAAAATCCTGTTCCAAAGGTAAGATTAAAATATAAATTGTGCAAATATTTTTCTTCTTTTTCTAAAACAGAATAATAATTTTCATAAAAAAATTGTGATTGAAAAAGAAAATAATGGAAAATAAATAAATTTTCTATTTCTTAATCACAGTTGTTTAACAATTTTCTAATTTTGCTTAGAAGTAAAGAACAAAAATCTGCATAATTTCAATTTGACAAAACATAATATTTAACAAAATTTTAGTCTTTTAATGAAAAGAAGTAAAAAAATTCTGATGATTTCTATTTGTCATTACAATTTTGAATTAATTATAAAATAAAAATAATTAATTAATTAATAATAATGAAGTACAAGTTCCTGTAATCTGTTCGTAGTTTGAAGTTAGATGTTGTTTGCTTTTTGTTTCTGAACTTTTTTTATAATTTTTCTTTTCAAATATTTTCAATTTTAAAATTAATGTATTGAAAATCATCAAATTTTTGCAAAAAATTTTATCAAAAAATTTTCTTCAAAGAATTTTATTATTTAGGAAAATAACTGAATTCTTGCAAAATATTTTATTAAAATTTTTAAAAATCCAAATTAAATTCTTTTGAAGAATTTCTTTGAATTTTTTTCAACTAATGGAGTTACTTTAACACAATTTTAATTGAAAATTTTAAAAGCAATTGAATTTTATGAAGAAGAATTTTATTAAAAGTGAATTGAAAATAATTGAATTCTTGCGAAGAATTTTACTATTTATAAAAATAGTTGAATTGTTTCGAAGAATTTATTAAAATTTTAGGAAATAATTGAAATTTATGGAAATATTTAAAAATATTTGAATTCATCCTAGAAATTCAATTTAAATTGTTTTGAAAATAATTGAATTCCTTGCGAAGAAATTTACTATTTAAAAAAATAATTAAATTGTTTCGAAGAATCTATTAAAATTTTAAGAAATAATTAAATTTTTATGAAGAATTTTATAGAAATAATTGAAAATAATTAAATTTTTTCGAGAAATTCAAATAAAGTTGTTTCGAAAATAATGGAATTTCTTTATAGAATTTTATTAAAATTATGTATATTCAAAATGATTGAATTCATCACAAGAATTTAATTATTTTTTGAAAATAATTGAATTCTTTCAATTTTTTTGACGAATATATTTAAAAAATTGCATTGAAAATAATTTAATTTTGATATACTTAGAATTTTTTAAAAATATGTTGAGAATAATTGAATTATTTTTAGAGAATTTTAAATTCTTGTTGAAATTGCATTTTATGGAAATTTTTGAAAATAATTAAATTCTTTTATGTAATTTTATTTAAATTTGATTAAAAATAATTTAATTCCTGTAAAGAATTTTTGTATTTATAAAAATAGTTGAATTGTTTCGAAGAATTTATTAAAATTTTAGGAAGTAATTGAAATTTATGGAAATAGGTATTTAAAAATATTTAAATTCATCCGAGGAATTCAATTAAAACTAACTGTTTTGAAAATCATTGAATTTTTGTAAAGATTGTACTATTTAAAAAAATAATTGAATTGTTTACAAGGATTTATTAACATTTTAGAAAATAATTGAATTCTTTCGTGAAATTAAAAAAAAATTTTTGAAAATATGAACAGTAATAATTAATTTTGTACTTAATAAGTAAATTTTTTAAATTTTGATTATGAAATTATTTAAAAAATTTATATTTGAAAATAAAAAGTTTTGTAATTTGTATAACAATAATAAATTGAATATCTCGTTCCGCGCGTAACATTTTCTGCTAATAATATAATATACAATTTATCTAAAGTTAACAAAAAACAAAAGTATAAACAAAAGACAACTTTAGAGTGTGAGGGACAGAAAAAGTGAATGGAAAATGATTTACATGAAAAATTACAATTTTCAAATTTATTCTTAACATAATTGTCTATAAATAAAATGTGTGCTTGTAATTTAAAAATCTTTACATTTACGACGTTAAATCATGTAGTTCCGTAAATTTGCCCTTATATCTTTTGTTTGACGAGAATCTATAACTACAAAAAGAAATAATGTCGCCTTGTATTTGAAGATTTCAAAATTAAATATGTTTTACTACTGAATTTTTAATATGAGAAAATATCATTTTCACCCAAGATAAGTATTATTTAATAAAATTAAGGCGGAAATATAAATAAAATATCGAGGAAAATGAATGTGATAACATAACCTTGTATAATAGGAAATATAAGCAAATTTTAGATCGAATATTTAGACTAATTTATTTTTATACATTGCAATCATTGCATTGGAAAGAACTTAGCAAGATATTCTTTTCCAACTTCGCAGGACGAGAGATTCATTTTTTTTTTATTCTGACATTAAATCATTACCGGCTGATATTTTAGTACAAGAAGACAAGATATAAATTATATCTATAATTATAAAAAAAACATCTTAAAAGAAAAATTCTTACCTTGTTGCTAAATTGGAAAATTTATTTAATAACACTGCTTTGTTATTCTAAATATTATGCACTTCCTTTATATTTTAACCGGTATAATTATTCTAATTCCAAATGCAAAACAATAACAAATGGTATAAGCACATAAGTTAGAGAAAAGTTGAGATACAAGCAAGGTTGTGCAGTTACGCGTAATTCACAGTTTTCAAAAGGATGCAGGATTATGGGTGACCCACACTTGGATATATAAACGGCATCAGGTCGAGTACACTGTTTGTCACGGAAGCGTCACAGAGAATGAGTACGTTCACACGAATTTTGGAAAAACCATTCTTGTCTTTCTCTCTTCTATGACAGAGGCATAAGTTTGTCTCAAGTCCAACGCACAATAGGTTCGCGAACGAGACGCATGAGATAGACAAGGACACAAATATATCTCTGTCCTTTTCTAACTCATGCTTTGCGTTCGCGAACGACTTTCGCGAACCTATTGTGCTTAGGCCTTTACTCTGCATTTTCTGTTTTTGGAAAAGTAAGAAAATGTAGAGTGAGACAAACTTATGCCCCTTTTATAGAAGAGAGAAAGACAAGAATGGTTTTTCTTTGAAAGTCGTGTGACCTCACCCTTACGGTCAGACAGGCACAGGGATGGGTACGTATTATACATGATGTATTATACCTGGTTTTCTACACGTATAATACGTGGTATTATACATCTTTAGTTTTCTACGTATGTCATGTATTTTACATACATTGCGTGACGCGCGGGATTTTTAAATTTTAGACAAGAAACATGTGATTTTAATAGTATATTAAATAAATTTTAAACATAATTTCAATTTAAAAATTTATTAATTAACATTGAAAAGTTTTTTTAAAATTTATGTTTTAAAGAAATAGCACACAAACAAAGTTCTAACTGTTCGTGGTCAGGTCAGGTTGTCTGCTGCCGCCAGACCCATTTATAGGTTATACATCTCCATGTGCCAGGCCATGTGTCAGTGATTGTTGTACAATATTGCTTTTTTTAAAATAAAAAAAAATTAACAAAAGAGGTGGAAGGCCGAAACACAATTCCTGGGAGGAATTGTGTTTTATTCCCAAAAATAATAAAGGGAAAAATGTTGCCCTGTGTCCTATTTGCAACAAAACATTGCAAAATACAGCTATAATAATAATTTAGTACTTTTGTATGAAAAAGTTTATTTGAAACCCGTTTATTTTCAAATAAATAATAAATTAACGTGTCTTTTTAAAATTGTTCTATATAAATATATAATACAAGTTATGAAAAAATGTGTGTAAAAAACCATATGAAAAATCAATAAATATATATTATACGCATTTTTTTGTAAACTTACCTTATATGTAACCTTTTTTGGTTTTTTCTTGGTATTTTTAGCAACAATTTAGTAATGAAAACCAGGAAACAAATAAAAAATAATCAAACATATGATTTTTATTATTATTGTGAGGTTTGTACGCATGCGCAGAACTGGACATGTATAATACCAGGTTTTCTACAATTTTCTACGTATTATACGTCATTTATGTATTATACGTAGAAAACTCCGAAAAAAACACTTTTACCCATCCCTGGCACAGGCAGGTATTAGAGCTGTGAGAATACCTTTACATTTCCAAGTTTATTTTTAAGATGAGATTCCCCTCTTACACACGACATATTTATTCGTAATCTTCCCGCCTGATGCTTTTTGTTTTCAACACAAGGTGCATATTGAATGTAAATAACTTTAAAAACTTTTAAAATGACTGGAGAAAATAATATTGAAGAACCGATGGAAGTAGACAGCACTCCATCAACCAGCAAGAGTAATAAAGAAACTTTAATTTCATCAGATAAATCAACTACTCCGTGGTGCGTAAAATTTTCTTTTCTTTGTTAACATTATCAAATGAATCTTTTTTAGGTTATGTTATGTTATTAAATTTATGATATTTGTTTTTAATTCACCTTAATTTTCTTTTGAATAACAAATTCCGATCTTCAATTATTCAGAAAAATATATGAATTGTTTTTGATTAAGAATAATTAATGTTAATTTAAATCTTGTTTTATGACAGTGAACGTCACACATTTTATAAGAAACAATTCCGGTAATCTGTTCGTCTGTTCGCAGTTTGAAGTTAATTGTTTGCAATTTTTTATCCTAACATTTTTTAAATAATTTTTCTTTTTAAATATTTTCAATTTTAAAATTAATATATTGAATTCTTGCAAAGAATTTTATCACAAAATTTGAGAATAATTAAATTCTATCCAAGAATTTTATTATTGATGAAAATAATTTTATTCTTTTGAAGAATTTCTTTCAAATTTCTTTAAATAATAAATTTTCTTTAATAATTTTAATTGAAAATTTTAAAAATACTTGAATTTTATGTACAATTTTATTCAAGGTTTTAAAATAATCGTGTTTCTCAATAATTGAAATTAAACATTCAATTTTATTGAATTTTATTAAAATTTTTTAGAGAATAATTAAATTCTTCTCAGAAATTTAATTACAATTTTCTAAAATAATTTAATTCATTCAAGGAATTTTATTAAAATATAAAAAAGAATTAAATTCTTTCGAAGAATAGACACTATTAAAGGTTTTTTTATAATAATGGAATTCTTTCAAAAAATTACTTAATTCATTGAGTATATAATCGATTTTTTTAATATTTGAAAATAAATAATTTTACTATTAAAATTTTATTCAAATTATTGATAGAAAATTCTCTTTTAAACAATTTTATTATAGTTTTTCTAAGTAATTAATTTCTTTCGAAGAATTTCTTTAAGTTTTTTCGAAAATATTGTAGTTTTTTGAATAATTTTATTTGAAAATTTTGAAAATCATTGAATTAAACAAAAAATTTTTTTCAACTTTTAAAAATGATCTTGTTGATAATAATTATAATTAAATATTTGATTATTGAAGTTTATTGAAATTGTATTAAAAATAATAATTTAATTCCTGAAAAGAATTTTATTATTTATGAAAAATAAATAATAAAATTTTTGCGATGACTTTTACTACTTTTAAAAATAATTGAATTGTTTGTAAAGATTTATTAAAACTTTAGAAAATAATTGTATTTTTTCGAAAAAAATATTCTTAAATATTTTTTTTTAAATTTAATTATTTCATGAAATTTTATTATAATTTTTTTTTAAATTAATTTAATTTTTGAAAAGAATTTGACTATTTATAAAAATAATTGAATTGTTTCGAAGGATTTATTTAAATTTTTTAAATTAATTAAATTCTTTTGAAAATTTTTATAACGATTTAAGAACAAAAATTGAATTCTTTTGGAAAATTTTATTGAAAAGAATTGAATTTTTGCAACCATTTTTAATCCATTCCAAAGAAACATTTTTTTTTATCATTTTATATCTTTTAATTTCTATCAATGAAATTTCTATGTTGAAATTCTTTCTTATCCATTTCTACCCAAAAAAAGTTTTCTTATTTTATCAAAGTAAAAAAATAAAGTTACTAGATTATCACTATAGACCGCCATTTCAATACCTGCACATATCCTATAAAGCAAATCAAAGTTAAATTTTTTGCATTTTTTATTTATTTATTTGTAATATTCATTGGCGTTTCTTGCTATGCATGACAGTAATTCACTTTTAAAACTGAATAAGCAGAACTGGGACATTTGAGGTTCTTTTATTTTACTTGACTATTTTGAACCCCGTTTTTTTATTTTGCCCCACTGTGCGGCATATTCATCAAGCTGGTAAATGAATCAAATACTTTAGAAAAAATTTGCAAAAATTAAAATTTGCACCTCTTATCATGTACTAGAAGAACCCAAAGTTTAGGAATTTTAAAAAAATTTGAATAAGCTTGAAAAAATTTTGAGTTATTTTCAGGAAATACTACATGTAATTCCTATGTAAAATTTCAGTCGACTAGAGGCACGTGTTAATTTTGTTCGATTTGCTTCAAACTTTCAGGAAAATTTTTCTTTTATACCTTGATTAATTTTTTGGTGTGAGACCAAAAATTTGGAAACATCGCCCAATTAAGAACCACCCTAAAGTCCATGTAAAAGAATTCCGTCAGACCTACCATTTAAAGAAAAAAACTTATACGTTTTTGATGAAAAATAGATATTCTGTTCACATTTACCCCAAAATAACTTTTACCTAGATAAATTTTGTTGTTGCCACATAGTTGTAAACTTTTACCAAGAATTCTATTTATTAGGATCGAAAAATATCGTCCGCAAGTATTTTCCGACATCGTTGGAAATGACGACACTGTATCGAGATTAGCTGTTTTTGCGCAACATGGAAATGCTCCAAACATAATAATTGCTGGTCCACCAGGTGTAGGAAAAACTACAACAATTCTTTGCTTGGCGCGCATTTTGTTGGGTCCAGCTTTTAAGGAAGCTGTTCTTGAATTAAATGCTTCAAATGACAGGGGCATCGATGTCGTCAGAAATAAAATTAAAATGTTCGCACAAAAAAAGGTATGTAATATTATTCAAAAGATTTAGACATCTTATTTAATATATATCGCTTAGAAAATAATTTTTATTAAACATATTTATTTTCATAAATATCATTATGAAACATATTTATTAAGTTCAATTTAAAAATAGACAAATTTTACAATAAATATAATATTCAACTTCTCATAAATACATCTTTTCACTTTCCTGGATAATAAATATGATAATTATCCAGTGTGTAGCAAGCATTTTAACAAAGGATAAAATTACATTTTTTCCCCTAAAATGCTAGAAAATACTCTTAGAAACAATATAGAATTAGTCCCGAAGGTCCGCACGACCGAAAAGTAGGTCATTTATAAATACTGGGCTCGGATTGTGCGACTTTTTCGACTTTTTTGTGAAAAAATGCGACTAATCGACTTTTTCGAGATTTTTTTAGTAAAATACGACTAATAATCGACTTTTTCAAATTTTTCAATTACTTTTCGACTTAAATTTATTGTAAATGGCAGAAATCTTTTTTTGTAAACAATATTTTTCAAAAAATCATTCTTCTCTTTAGGGAAAAAAAACAACATATTATTATGAGCAAGAGTAAATCGCAGGTCATGATTAATTAATTTAAAAGGAATTAAACTGGTAAAACGTATTTATTAGAACGAGTTAATTAAAAGTTATACACGATTTGTGTGCTGCTTATGAAAGACAGAAAAGATCTGATTGAGAAATAAAAGACGATAGAATATATTCACACGAATATATAAACAGATCAGAACAAAAGTTTAGAAAGTGAACCCGCGTATTGTAAAACATTTTTGATTTCCAACAATTATCTCGTTTCTTAATATTTTTGTAGGAAATTCTCAATTTTCATAAGGAAACAATTTGCATCATTTCTATTTCTTAATTACAATTGCTTTAATAAAATTTAAAGTTTTTTAAAAATTAATGAAAAAAAAATTCTATTTGTCAATTAGAAAGTGAAACTTTTAACATTTTTAGAAAATGTCTTCATGTTTTATTACAATTAAAGATGACCGAGTGATAAAATCATTATTTTATATTATAAGACTTTAAAAAAAAATTTTTTTTAAATTATTTTTTATGAAAATAATTGAATTATTGAGAAGAAATTTATAAAACATTAGTAAGTAATTGAATTTTGCAGATTAATTTTGATATTTACAAAGATAATTGAAATTTTGGGGAGAATTTTAAAAAAATTTCGAAAACCATTGAATTTCTGCGAAGAATTTTCTTACTTTTGAAGATAATTGAATTTTGCAAAGAATTTTATCAGAACTTTTGAAAATAATAAAATTTCCAGGATGAATTTTATTATTTATGAAGATAAATAAAATTTTGACGAGGAATTTAAAAAAAAAATTGAAAATATAATTTCTAGAATGAATCTTTTTATTTATAAAGATAATTGAAATTTCGACAAGAATTTTATTATTATTTTTACAGGGTGGTCACATGTCAGTAAAGTCAGGGAAATGTCAGGAAAAATTTTTTTGTCAGGGCAATTAAAGAAATTAAGACGGTCATGCAATACGTTTTTTGCTATAAACAAAAAAATTTTTGTCAGGGAAATTCGTTGTTATGTCAGTAAAATGTCAGGGAAATTGATAAAGTCAATCTTGCGGCCACCCTGTTTTACAAATAATTAAATTTCAGAGAAAAATTTTATAATTTATGAAGATAATTGAAATCTTGAACAGATTTTATTAAAAATATTTAAAATTAATTGAATTTTGCAAAAGAATTTTCTTACTTTTCAAGATAATTGAATTTTGTAAAGAATTTTATCGAAAAAATTTGAATTTGAAAAAAAAATTTGAATATAATTGAATTTCTGCGAAGAATTTTATTACTTATGAAAATAATTGAATTTTGGAGAAGAATTTTATTATTTATAAAGATAATTGAAATTTTGACAAGAATTTTATTATAATTTTTACAAATAATTAAATTTCAGAGAAGAATTTTATTATTTATAAAAATAATTGAAATTTTGAACAGATTTCTTTAAAAATGTTTAAAAGTAATTGAATTTTGCAGAATAATTTTGATATTTACAAAGATAATTACAGGGTGTCTACTAACCGGGAATTTTATTTGACCGGGAAAACCCGGGAATTAGCCGGGAATTTTATACCAAACCGGGAATTTTTTTACCAAAATTAAAAAAGTTTTATTATTTTAATTTGTTTTTAAAAAATCACTTTTTATATCAATTTTTATAGGTATTTATACTGTTCTCTAAATTTAAGTTAGTTAAAAATAATTAATTTGATAGTAAAAAATCAATTCGACTGAAAATATGTAATTAAATTTGTTAAAGAATTTCATTAGAAACTTTTTAACAAATAGAATTTTCAAAGTATTTTAATTTAATAATTGATTAATAATTGAATATTATAAAGAGTTCAATTCTAATGTATTCATGTTTCTTACTGCGAAGATTAATAATTAAAATCTTTATTAGTTAATTTAAAAAAATATACATACTTAAAATTGTTTAATAAAATTGAACTTTCGCAAATTTTTTTTTAATTCTGAAAAATAAGATTGTTGTAATTTTTTAATTCTATTGTTTCAAGATAATTGAATTTTTCTAAACAAATAATTGAAATTTTTTTAAATAATTGAAATTTGTTTACATTTTTTGAAAAATAATTGAATTCTTTTAAAGAATTTTATTTAAATTTTTCGAAAATAATCAAGGGAAGTTAGTGACCGTAATTATAATTTAATTTTTAAAACTTAAAGTCCCTCTTACAGTTTTAAATCAATTTTTTGCTTCTAAAAATATTATTAAACTTCTCTTAAATTTTTATAAATTTAAATTTCTGATTAAATGTTTATTACTTATTAAGTAAATAATTAATTATTAATGATTATTATTTTTAAAAATTTTAATAAAATTCTTCACAAGAATTAAATTATTTTCATAAATAATAGCATTCTTTGGAAGGATTCAATTGTTTTTATAAATAGTAAAATTTTTTTGCAGAAATTCAATTATTATCAATATAATTTTAATAAAATTAAAAAATCAAATTTTCAATTATAATTATAAAAAGACAAGATTATTTTTGAAAAATTAAAAAAATTTAAAGATTTATTTATTTTCGAAATCAAATTTACATTTAAATTTGGTGAGAAAAGAAAACCGGGAAAAAATTTGGACATAACCGGGAATTTTGTTGAACGAAAATACTAGACACCCTGAATTTAATAATTGATATTGTGAGGAGAATTTAAAATAATTTTTTGAAAATAATTGAATTTCAGCGAAGAATTTTCGTACTTTTGAAGGTAATTGAATTTTGTATTAGAATTTTATCAGAACTTTTGAAAATAATTAAATTTCCATAATGAATTTTATTATTTATAAAATTTTGACGAGAATTTAAAAAAAATTTTTGACTATAATTGAATTTCTGCGAAGAATTTTATTACTTATGAAAATAATTGAATTTTAGAGAAGGATTTTATTATTTTTAAAGATAATTGAAATTTTGACAAGAATTTTATTAAATTTTTTTTTAAATAATTGAATTTAGGAGAAGAATTTTATTATTTATAAAAATATTTTACATTTTAAAGAGAATTTTTAAAAAAATGTTAAAAATACCTAATTAAAATTTTGCTTGGAGTTTTATTAAATTTTATTAAATTTTATTCCGAATTGTTTGATATTAAAGTATGTGTTGTCGAGAAATGTGATTTTTTTACAATTTTGACAATTTCGTGTTTCCTTTTTGTCGTTTTTTCTAAAATTCCATGCGACTTTTTTTCGACTTTTTTGCAAATTTTATGCGACTTTTCGTGACTTTTGTTGTGAATTTATGCGACTAAAGCGACTTTTTTTTGAGTCTTAAAGTCGATCCGAGCCCTGTAAATATTTTTAATATTATGAATAAAATTTGTTTGAAAAAAACACGTTGTTTTGAGGAACCTGGCCCTAATGAATTCACTTCCATTAAAGGTGAATCTTGCTAAAGGAAAGCATAAAATAATTATTCTGGATGAAGCCGACAGTATGACTGATGGTGCACAACAAGCTTTACGCAGAACAATGGAAATTTATTCGCATACTACGAGATTTGCCTTAGCTTGCAACAATAGTGAAAAAATTATTGAACCCATTCAGTCAAGATGTGCTATGCTGCGATATGGAAAATTAACAGATGCACAAGTTTTAGCAAAAGTCATCCAAGTATGCAATAAAGAGAATGTGAGTTCAATTTCTACTAAATGCATAATCCATAATTTATAATTTATAACATTTTATAAATAGAAATTCAATGGGAAATACTATTTTTATAGATATCACACACTGATGATGGTTTGGAAGCCATAATTTTTACTGCTCAAGGTGATATGAGACAAGCACTCAATAATTTACAATCTACTTTTAATGGCTTTGGCCACGTTAACTGTGAAAATGTTTTCAAAGTATGCGATGAACCGCATCCAGTTTTGGTTAAGGGAATGCTCGAACTCTGTACAAAAGGAGACATCTCCAATGCATATAAAGTTCGTACTTTTTATTCTTTTTATTGATAGAGCTAATTTTATTTCTAATAAGAATTTAATTTTTAAATATTGATAACAGGGAATGGATCAATTATGGAAAATGGGATATTCGGCAGAAGATATTATAAGCAATGTATTTAGAGTTGCTAAGAATCTTGACATTGATGAACCTTTGAAATTAGATTTTATTAAGGTATGATGTTCTACTAATTTACACAATTTTAGATTTAAATGAAATTCATTACATTCATTACATTCATTACATTCATTACATAAATTTAAAAGTAACATTTTTTTAGGAAATTGGTGAAACGCATTTAGGAATTGTAGATGGGATAAGCAGTCTTCTGCAAATGAATAGTCTTTTAGGTCGTCTGTGTCGTAGATCACTAAAGACGTGAATTCTTTGAGAATATCTATTTATATTTTTGTAATTAAATTTGTTATAATTTTCTAATAAAAACAATTATTTCGTCAGAGTTGGTTTTTGAATTACAAATTTCTGCAGAAGACAACACAATACACTTTAACATTTTTGTTTCTTGGTAAGATGGTGCTCTAAAATTTCTAAAAAAAAACACTTTTTTAAATATAAAATAGGATAGAATATGAAAGATTTATTCTGGGATTCTTTTATACATTTTATTTGTAAATTTTAACATACTTTCATTTGTGCTAATATTTACATTAATAAATAATTTATTGCAATGTTTAAATTAGACTAAACAACAATTAGATTTTTCTAATGTCCATTTTATTAATGTTTCATTATTTTTATATTTGATTCTTTAATTATTATTCAGTTTCATTTTTAAGAATCCATGATTCTTATTAGAGATAACTTTTAAATACTAGGTATTTATATACAGAATAAAAAAAATATCTTTTTAAATAATTAAAAAAGTTTTACGAAATTAAAATACATAATTTTTTAAATATCCTAATAATTATTACACATCGTTAAACATTATAAAGATAATTACAGTTTTCTGAGATCACTTATTCTACTTACATATTTTACTTTCGTTTATATTTTTACAAATAGACTAAAATCATCACTTAAAGACTTGTTTTCGATTTCAAAATTTTTCTGCGTATCTTTACAGAAATATTATTATGAATCCACTTATAGAATGTTTAATATTTTTTTTCTAAATTACTAATTTTATAATTAATAAATATTCAAATTGGCAATCACGGGGCAAAATTTTTCAAGTGTACCGACCTCAAATAGTCGAATTAAAAAGCATTTCAGTACCGGTCAAAATTATCAGTCTATTTTTATTTCATTATTGCAAGAAATTATTTATTTTCTAAACTATATTAACTTGAATTTTATTCTCTTGAAGACATTACTTTTAATGTCTAGCACTCAAAATTAAAAGTAGGAGAAAATAATTTCCAATCAGAAAAAATAATTACAAATGTACAGTCATCACAAATTACAATGCACACTAATAGCTTCTTAACGTTTAGTAAAAGTATGGATGTTCCAGGAATATCCGGATACTATCAGGGAGGCTTCGTACTCGATAATTAAATTTAAAAAATGGAATAATTTTTTTTTAAAATAAATATTTAAATACCTATTAATCTTTCCATAGGAATTTAAATATTTTTAATGATTTCAATGTGAAGCCTTTTTGAAATATTTCTAAAACGAACAACTGTAATTCTTCCAAAATTCAGGCACTTTTTTGTTGAAATTTTTTAATAAAATTCTCCAAAACTTTAATTATTTTATTTCAAAATAAAAAAATAAATAATATTGAATAAATATTGATAAATAATAAATAACATTTAAATAAAAATTTGAATATTACCTAGGTACAGTTTTACAACAATTAAAATTTTCAAAGATTTCAATTAAGAAATCTTTTGAAATTCAATTATTTCTAAACATTCACACTGTAACGCTTCTTAATATTTAATTATGACTATTTTTGTATTTATTTATCTATCTATTATTTATTATTATTAATCATTATTATTTATATTTATCTAAAATTTTAAATGAAATTAATTTTAAAACAATTCTTATTAGGAAGTTCTACGACATTTTAATTATTTAAATACGAAAATAAACAATTTATTGAATATTTGAATATTTCTTAAAATTTAATTCTTATAAAGAGTTTAGCAAATTTTTTTTAAATAATTGCATTTTTTCGAAAAATTTTCAAGAATAATTGCATTTTTCGAAGAATTTGTTTAAAATTGAATTAAAAATAATTGAAATTAAATTAAGTTAATTAAATAATTGAATTTATGTTAAATTTTTATTATTTATGAAAATAATAGGTACCTACATTAAAAATAATTAAAAAAAACTAAAATTTGTAAAAATTCAAATTCAATTGTTTCGAAGAAAATTTCAGTTCTTACAAGAAATTTAGTTAAAATTGTACTGAAAATACATAATTGGACTCTTAAAAATAATTAAAGTTTCATCAATAAATTTTATTCAAATTGTACATTAAAAATAATTGAAATTTTGAATAATTTTCGAAATTAATTAAATTTTTCCGAAGAAATTTTATTAAACCTTTTTGAAAATAATTGAATTGTTAGGAAGAATTGATATTAAAAATTTTTGAAAATAATTAAATTCTTTCAAGAAATTTAATTGAAAATGTATTGAATATAATTATTAAATTCCAATAAATAAATTGTATCAAATTTTTAAAAAATAATTTAACTCCTTTGAAGAATTTTATTAAAAACTCTTTAAAGTAATTCAATTTGTACAACATTTTTTTTTATTGGAATTTAATAATTGATTCAAAAATTTTTTATTAAATTTCTTGAAAGAATTTAATTATTTTCAAAAATTTTTAATCCAACTCTTCCAAACAATTCAATTTTATTTTCCAAATATTTTAATACAATTCTTCGTAAAAATTTAATTAATTTCGAAAATTATTCAAAATTTAATTATTTTTTCTAAAAAACTGTTTCAATAAAATTTGCCGAATAAAAAAAAATTTTAAAATTAAAAATTTAAAAAAAATTCAATAAAATTCGTTGCAAGAATTCAATTATTTTCATAAGGTATAAAATTCTTTGGAAAAATTCAATTATTTTTAATACAATTTGAATAAAATCTTTTTTTTAAATAATTAAAATTAAAATTTTGAGGAGAATTTAAAAAAAATTGGAAAATAATTTAATTTCTGCTAAGAAATTTCTTACTTTTTGAAGATAATTGAATTTTGCAAAGAATTTTATCAGAACTTTTGAAAATAAATAAATTTCCATAATGAATTTTATTATTTATGAAGATAAATAAAATTTTGATGAGGAATTTAAAAAAAAGTAAAAATAATTGAATTTCTAGGATGAATTTTATTACTTTTGAACATAATTGAATTTCTAGAATGAATTTTATTATTTATAAAGATTATTTAACTTTTAATAAGAATATTATTTAAAATTTTTGCAAATAATTGAATTTCAGAGAAGAATTTTATTACTCTCAAAGATAATTGAAATTTTGAACAGATTGTATTAAAAATGTTTAAAAGTAATTGAATTTTGATATTTATAAAAATAATCGAAATTTTGAAAATAATTTAATTTCTGCCAAGAATTTTATTACTTTTGAAAATAATTGAATTTCTAGGATGAATTTTATTAAAATTCTTTGCAAATAATTGAATTTCAGAGAAGAATTTTATTATTCACAAAGATAATTAAAATTTTGAACAGATTTTTTTTTAAAATGTTTAAAAGAAATTGAATTTTGCAGAAGAATTTTGATATTTATAAACATAATTGAAATTTTGAGGAGAATTTAAAAAAAAATTTTTGAAAATAATTGTATTTCTGTAAAGAATTTTTTGACTTTTTAAGATAATTGAATTTTGCAAAGAATTCTATCAGAACTTTTGAAAATAATTAATTTTTTATGATGAATTTTATTATTTATAAAATTTTGAATATAATTGAATTTCTGCGAAGAATTTTATTACTTTTGAAAATAATTGAATTTCGTAGAAGAATTTTATTATTTATAAAAATAATTGACATTTTAAAGAGAATTTTTAAAAAAATGTTAATAATACATAATTAAAATTTTGCTATGAATTTTATTAAATTTTTAAAAATTTTATTCCGGATTGTTTGATATTAATGTATCTGTTGTCAAAAAATGTGATTTTTTTTACAATTTTGTGTTTTCTTTTTGTCGTTTTTTTGATTTTTTCTATGATTTCATGCGACTTTTTTCGACTTTTTCGGAAATTTTATGCGACTTTTCGTGACTTTTGTTGTAAATTTATGCGACTAAAGCGACTTTTTTTGAGTCTTAAAGACGATCCGAGCCCTGGTAAAGTTATAAGCAAACAATTATTGTAAATAAAGTACATTTTAACAGCAATTGAGTATAAAAAAATAGTTTTTTCTTTTAATATCCTTTTTCTATATCGTTTTGTTTTAACTCTATAACTTTAAACTAAACTTTAATTCTTAAAATTTTTCACTAAAGTTATAAACAATTCTTGTAAACAAATTATTTATTTACAATAAGTGAAGGTGAATTTTATAAAATAAAAATATTGTCAGATGAAATTCAAATTCCTAGATATTAAAAGAAAAAAACGATTTTTTATACTCAATTGTTGTTAAAATGTACTTTTGTTTTATCATAGATGTCAGTTTTATTTTAATTTTAGTCATTTATTGTGATAAGAAAATGTGTTTGTAATTTGTTTTTCTGGATATTCAAAATTTTAGATATTTAGGCCGCCATTTTGAATTTCGAAAAAATAAAAACTTCTCATGCCTTTGTGAAAGGTCATACATTTTGAACGCGATATTTTGTCATTCCAAATGTTTCCTGAAGTGATTTCCAATCAAAAATATATAGTTTCAATGAAACAAGAACCAAGAAATTTTCCCAGATAACAAACGTGCCTGGCACGTCACAGGCACGATGGGCGGCGGACCGCGTGCCGGCTATTACGCACTGTTCTTGCCGTTCATTATTTTCAAGACCAAGTGTGCCTGCAATATGCCGGAATGTTTTCAACACTCTATAATTTCCTATTTATTAATTATTTTTTTTGTTATTTAGTAATTACATTTAATATATTTTAATTATTATAACTTAAAATAATTATTAACAGAATTAATAGTTACATTGTTCCTTTTGAATTAATGTTGAATTATTATATTATCTGCTCTCGTATAATATATTAATTAAAAAAATGAATGTCATTCTTCTTAAAAAGTTATATTTATATATAATATATAAAATTATATAATATAAAAAATTATTATAGATTATTAAAATAATAATAATAATAATTTTGTATTATTACGAATAATAAAAATATTTTTTTTATAAAAATTGAATCCTTATAATTAATATATGTACTAGTAAATGGTACGCGCGAAATATTTTGTTGAATTTATTATTATGCAAATTACAAAACATTTTATTTTCACATATGAATTTTTGAAAAGTTTCAGATTCAAACTTTCAAAAAATTAAATTTTTAACTAATTTACTAATCAATTATTCTTGTTTATTAATTCCCAAATTTTCAATAAAATTCTTTCCGCAAAAATTCAATTATTTTCATAAAGAACAATATTATTCTTTGTATGAATTAAATTATTTTTATAAATAAAATATTTCAAAAATTAAATTCACTTATTTTTAGAAATAATAAAATTTTGCGCAAAAATTCAATTATTTTCATAAAGAACAATATTATTCTTTGTATGAATTAAATTATTTTTATAAATAAAATATTTCAAAAATTAAATTCACTTATTTTTAGAAATAATAAAATTTTGCGCAAAAATTACCAATAATTTTCAATAAAATGAATTTGATTTTAATAAAATTTCACGAAAGAATTCATTTTTTTTAATTTTTAAAAAATTTTTCGATAGAATTAAATTATTTTCTAAAATTTTAATAAGTCCTTGGAAGCAATTCCATTATTTTTAAGTGTTGCAGTTAAATTAATTGCTAAATTAAATTATTTTTGTAAATAATAAAATTGTTCTGAAGAAATTTTATTTTCAAATTGAATTTTGAAAATAATTGAATAACTCTGAAGAAATCTATTATTTATGGACAATATTCTATTATTAAGGAGAAACACAAATCAATAATTATTTCTTTAAAGAATTTTATTAATATTTGAAAATAATTGAACTCCTGTGAAGAATTTTATTAATTTTAGAAAATAATTGCATTTTTGTGAGGAACTTTATTAATTGTTGAAAATAATTGCATTCTTTCCAGGAAATTTATTATATTTGTGAAAATGTAATTGAATTCTTAAATAAAAAAAATTAGTAAAATCTTCACAGAAATTCAATTAATTTCAAAAATAAAAAATTATTCCAATTTTTCGAAAGACTTTGATTATTTTCTAAAATTAGTAAAATTATTCGTAGGAATTCAAATATTTGCTTAAATCATAAAAATTCTTCACAGAAATTCAATTATTTTTCTAAAATCTGTAAAATTCTTCTCAGGAATTCAATTATTTATAAAAATTAGTTAATGTTTTCACAGGAATTGAATTATTTAAAAAAAAATTGAAAATAATTCTTAAAAAAAATTTAATTAGGGTTTTGAAATATTTTTTAATAATTCTTAGCGAGAATTTAATTATTTTCATAAATAATAAAATTCTTTGAAGGAATTCAATTATTCTAAATTTTTTTGCAAGAATTCAATGATTTTCAATACATTAATTTTAAAATTAAAAATATTGAAAAAGAAAAATTAATTATTTTGCGTTTTAAGGAGGAATGGTATACCTAATCGGGCCAAAAGTTTGTGACACTTAGGGGAATTTGTAATTTTGTTATTTAAGCTACATACAGCAGTTTTTCTTATTGAAATCATAAAAGTAGACATCAATGAATATTAAAAAGTATATATTAAATAAGGAAAAGATAACAAAAAAAAATGAAATTAATTTTTTTTATAAAAGCAGAAAATAATTTTTGTTACTGTCTGTACGAATTTAAAACCTAAGAAAATAAAAGTTACTGAAATTCTTTAAAAATTATTTTCGGATTTATCGAGTATTCCATTGCAAACTTTGAAAAAATGCTATTATTACGTATATATGTGTCTTATTATGCTGTAATATTAATGTTATTAATTATAAACATTGTCAAATAACAATTTGTAATGAGCGTTTAATCGTGACAACCTCGCAATGCAAATAGTTTGTTTTTTGATCGTTGGTAACAGTGTCAAGTGTTATGATTTGCATTTGTGTAGTTAAAAATAATGAAAATTTGTCATTTTTGGTACCTTTGGCGCCATCTCTTGGTTCTATGTACCACTAAACAGCTGTCACATGTGAGACTTTATATACAGTGTTGCCACGTTTTCTCTGTTTGTCTGTCATAAAATTAGTTTTCTTCCAGAAACTAATTAATTACTTTTAAACTAATTAGTGAATAAAAAAGAACCTTCGTGATTAATAAAGCTTAAATCTTGACCTTCAAGATACAATTTTTGCAAAAAAATCTGAATGTTTTAAGTATTAAATTTTTAATGATAAACATGCAAATTCGTACTTTCCCCATAAGAGGTAATGTTAAATTAAATAATTTTTAACTTGTAAACTATTTAGTGAAAAATTCTGAAATTTGGTGGGTAACTTTATTATATAAAAGCAAATCATTTCCCAAAATATCAAAAGATTCTGAATGTTTTGAATTTCTATACCATTCCTCCTTAATAAAATTTTTCGAAATAATCAAATTTTTTTCTCAAATTTTAATAAATTTCAATTATTTCTATAAATAATAAAATTGTTTGCAAAAGTTCGCAATACTTTTTAATGAAATTTCTTGAAAGAATTCAAGTTTTTTAAAAACTTTTATAATATTTTTCGAAAAAAGTAGAATTTGTTTTTAAAATTTCAATAAATCCTTTGAAACAATTCAACCTTTTTAAATTTTTAATAAAATTCATTGACAATTTTAAAAAGCTGAAAAGAATTTTTTGTTTAATTCAATTATTTGAAAATTTTCATTTTAAATTATTTTAGAAAAATTACATTTTTTTATAAAAGAATATATAGATATACTTCAAAAAAATTTAATTAATAGAAAAATTTTAATAGAATTTTATAAAAGAATTTAATTTTCAATGAATAATTTTTAATAAAAGTTTAATAGTAAAATTATTTATGAAAATTATTAAGAAAATCGATTATATTCAATAAATTAAAGAGATTTTTTGAAGGAATTCAATTATTCTCAAATTTTTTGCAAGAATTCAATGATTTTCAATATATTAATTTTAATGAAAATTAAAAATATTGAAAAAGAAAATTATGAAAAATGTTAGTTATGTAGTTAATTAATTCCTTATAATTAATAAAATAATAATTAAAATTAATAAAAATATAATTTTATCGGTTTACAAATAGCAGGCACGTTCGTGCCGGACCATTTCTGGCACGACTGTGCCAGACTGACGGGCTGGCAATATCGCTAGCTATGGCGCGCACATTCAGCTGCTTATGTGCCGGCATTTCGGTCCGATTAATCGGCCCAAGGTCCGGCAAATACGCACCCTATTAGCGGACATTTTGTTATCTGGGTTTGTGTTTTTTTGTTTAAACAATTATAACTTTTAATCCTTAAGCCAAAAGTTAAAATTTCTTGTAGATTCTGAAAGAGGATGAAAAAATTCATAAGAAACACTATGTATGAACTGGGGTAAAAATGAGGTTTTAGTAGATGAGTACGAAGCCTGCGTATATAAATAATTAGGGTAAGTTGATCAACGTTAACCTAACAATAACTATAGTTTCATTTTCAATTAAATATTAAAATATTAATTTCTCGTCATTCATCAGCACCATTTTTCTACTGGCATGGAAGAAAGTTGGCCTCTAGGTTTAGGCGACGGCCATCTTAAAGCGCTTTGGCAAGATTCTGCTCTAGATGGTGTTCTCAGAGGTGGTTGAGGGACACTTGAATTCAAATTGCATTCCCCTTGAAATAGTTCACCGTTAATTTCAGATCGCGAGCCCCTTTCAGTTGGTGGGTCGCCACGATAATTTCTTTTTGTCGGTTTTCTAAGAATTTCATGTGTGCCAGATGGCGGTGCACTTTCAACAGATTGAAGACTGGTCGCTCTATGCAGTGATAATCTCAATGGCTTCTTTGGTGGAGCTGGACGCGTTTTCATTGTTTCCTGGGAAAAAATATTCAGAACTTCAAAATTATCTGAATAACGTGACTGAGAATCCTATAGAAGAGAATGTTAGTTATATTCCTTTCTATTTTTTTGGGGAAAAATAAATATTAAATTTTTGAAGAATATTACCTGCAGACGATAATATGTTGGTTCCGAATCGAATTCAAGAGATTGATAATTAGTTTTACGATTTTTTTGCAGCTGCTCCATTGCTGATTCAACTCGTGTTTTTCTACGAGGAGAATGAAGTTGTATTTGAGATTGTTTGAAGACCAAATTTGCAGTTGATCTGGTGAGTGGTGCAGTTGGTGATTTATGTTTATTTCTTAGCTTTTGATGTCCATTCGTTGCTCCGTCAGATGAAAAATCTAATTCCTTAGAATTTCGCGACTCCGTCCAACGTTTTAAATTTTCGCTTTGTTTACATTTTCCTATAGAGAGACTTTGACGGCCCTCTGCAGGACTTCGCATATTTAAACCGGGAACATTTGCAATCAAAGTGGTCACTTGAGGGCCCTTTTGAAATACCTATGATTATAGAAGATTTTTGTTTTAAAATAAAACGAAATGAAATTAATTAAAATTTTATACCTGGACATTTTTCTGTTGAGTTACTGCGGGCTCTACAGACACTTCAGTTCTTGTTGGAACAAGAAGATCTCTAACCTGCTCCTCCAGATAACCGATTCTATGAGTGAGTCTGAGGTTATCGGAGCGTAGGGTACGCAAAGCTGTCAATGATTCGCCTTTTCGTAGGACAACGATTTGCGCCAGGTCCGGAGCAACAGCTAGTAATCTGGCCAAGTCGCTTCTTCCAGCTCCCACAACAAGCTTTCCATTTACTTCCAAGATCCTGAAAACAATATTCGATAGATAAAGTTACATGCCCACAATTTCCAGGCATAAACAATAGATTTTCTAGCTCACATCAGATACTCTAATTATGAGAATCGTTAGCATTTACTTTAATAATTTCATTATTACTCATATAAAGTACAATTTTATGAATAATAACAGGGTTACCACGCTTTTCCTCATTTCAAATTCCCTGACTCTTCCAGGTTTTCCAGGTTTTTAAAACTACATTTATATTTTACCAAATTTTAATTTTAATTTTTAATTTTACCAAACTCCCTGATTTTCAGACAAAACGACTTTTTTCCTGTTCTATAACATTTATTTACGAATTTCTTTAATTTTAAAATTACTCGAAAACATCAATAACTTCGTTTTTAAATGAATTTTTAATCATTATTATTTTTTTACAGAAATTAAGATTTTCAAAAATCTTAAATTTAATAAAATATAATAATATTATTATAAAACATGAAGATATCGATCGGAGTAATCGCTTTCTTCATGTTTTATAATCATTAAAACTTGATACTATCATTATTTTATATTATAAAAATATTGTTACTGTAATTTCTTCAAAATTATTTTCATTTCAATTCAATTCTTCATTTCTAGAATTTTTAACTAAAATTGTTCTTGAACTCAATTTTTTTTTAATTTTTGAAAAAGTTCTTCTTTGGGAATTTTTAAATCCGTTTGTTTACAATTCAAATTTAACTAAAATTATTCGATTATTCTGACATTCTTTAATGAAAAAAATTAGAAATTAAAAACTTCAAATAATTAAAAAAAAATTCCATTTAATTTTTTGAGAAAAATTAATACTAAATTTCCTTAAAAATCTTATCAAGAATTTAATTATTTTTATAGATAATAAAATTATTCGCAGGAATTCAATTATTCTCAAAAATTTGAATAACATTCTTCGAAATAATTCAATTATTTTTAAAATTCACAAAATTCTTCGTATAAATATTCAATTTTTTTCAATATTAATTTTTACGTAATTTCGATTATTCTGACATTCTTCAATTAAATATATATTAGAAAAAAAACTTGAAGAATTAAAGAAAAATTCAACTAAACTTTTTTAAAAAAATTAATTCTACAGAATTGTTAGTTAAAAGTATGAAAAGTTCAAATTTTCCAAGATTTTAATTTGAAACTTTTTCAAAATTCAATTATTTCTAAAAATTTACGCTATATTGCTTTCAGCATTCAATAATAATCTAAAATTTTAATTGAAATTTATTTTTAAATCAATATTTACTAGAAAAATCCACGAGAATTCAATGATTTAAATACAAAAATAAATATTTTATTGAATAATATTGAATGTTTGTTTAAATTGAATTTTCATAAAGAATTTTATAAACAAATTTTTAAATAATTGAATTCTCTTGACAAATTCTTAAGAATAAGTTCATTTTTCGGAAATTTGATTAAAATTTTAATGAAAAATAATTGAATTTCTCCAAAGAATTTTTTAAGAGTTTTTAAAAATGATTGAAATTTTGCCAAGAATTTTATGAAAATTTTAGAAAATAATTAAATTTTTGAGACAAGTTTATAAGGATTATTGAAATTTTGACGAGAATTTTTTTAAATTATTGAACAGAATTAAATTTCTGCGTAGAATTATATTAATTTTTGAAAATAACTGAATTCTTGAGACGAATTTTATTAAAATGTCTTTTTAAATAATTGAATTCTATTATGAAATTTTATTGAAATAGTAGACATTGAAAATAATTTAATTTTGACAAATTTATGAAATTATTAAAATTTCAACAAAGAATTTTATTAAAATTATTTTGAAAAAATTGAATTATTACAAAGAATTTCATTAAAATTTTTGAAAATAATTTAATTTTTTGAATAAATTTAATTAAAACTTTATAGAAAATAATACTTAAATTCTAATAAATAAATTGTAGCAAAAGTTTTTAAAATAATTGAATTTCTTTGAGGATTTTTAATAAAATTTTTAAGAATAATTTCATTTTTCGAGGAATTCCATTAAAATTGTATTAAAAATAATTGAAAGTCGGCGATGAGTTTTATTATTTATGAAAATAATGAAATGTTAACGAAAAATTTTATTAAATTTTTTTTAAATAATTAAATTCTTTTGGAAAATTTTATTAAAGTAGTAGATTTATTAAAAATCATTGAATTGATCAAAGTTTTGAAAATAATTGAAATTTTGCCATGAATTTTATTCATATTTTTGGAAATAATTGAATTTCTCAGAAGAATTTTACTACTTTTGAAAATAGTTATAGTTGGAATTCTGCAATCATTTGTAATTGCTTCAAAATTCACTTTCTTTTAGTGTTCTAAATTAAAATTCTTCTATAAATCCATTATTTTTAATTGATTAAATTAAAAATATATATTAAAAAATTTAATTAATTTCAGAAGAATTGGAATAATTAAAATTTCTCAAAAATCGACGTTCTTTAAGACGATTTCTAATTAAATTCATTCAAAATTTCAAATTAAAATCTTTTGAAATTCATCTGTACTTATGTAAATTGTAAACGCAACTTTTTTTAAAATTGAATTAATTTTGAAATATTTATGTAAGATTAGATTTCAAGAATAAACTTTAGAAAATAACAATTTTCCAGGATTTCGATCAAAATTGCCTGACTTTTCCAGGTTTTTTCAAGGTTTATAAAAATTCCCTGACATTTCCAGGTTTTCCAGGTTTTCCAGATTGCGTGGCAACCCTGAATAATTAAATACACCAAATTTTCTATAATTCAGAATTTTACAGACAGTTTCACACAATTGGAAGCAATTATCATCGATCTCGAAAAACCCCGTGTAACAAGTTTCATGTAAAATGGTGAAACTTTTCAAAATTCTTCCGCCATATTGGATCCGCCATTTTGAATCCTTAAAAAATGATATCAAATTCGTAATCAGCGACTCCGAAAACCCCCGAGTATCATTTTAAAATTTCAACCGTCATATTGAATCCGGCATTTTGAATTTTCAAAAACGGACATCATATTCGAAATGTTCAAAGCGTCCCTGAAAACCCCTATATAGAAAGTTTTATTGAAATCCAATCTCTTAATACTTCATGGGTAAAGTGCTCTCCCATAGTACTAAAGGTTAAGCAAAAATTAGCCAGTTTAAAAAGTTTCGAATTTTAAGTAAAATCTCCACGGTGAAAGGGACCTTAGCTGGAAAAATTTATGTTATGTTTATAGTAGTTTTCGCTTTAATGAATATACATATGGGCAATTCCACGTGAGATTTAAGTCGACCTCTTAAAATCGGCCAAAAATATTTTTTTTCTATTCTGTATCGAAAAAAAAACAGATACGTATTTTTTTATTTTTGTTTAATTGTCCAAATTTTCGAGTTATGAATTTTCGAAATTTTGGACTTTTATTTGTAGACCTATATTCAGTAGCTTATAAGTCTGAAAATATTGAGTTTAGGAAAAAGTTGTCAAAGAATGAAAGTTTTAGTTTTCTTTCGACTTTTAAGAAATGTAAACAAAAGAATTTTTTTTTAAATTTTTTATTTAAAAAATTTTTTTTTTATAAACAAATTTATTTTTTTTAACATTGGGCCAAATTTTTTTTCATTTTTTTTAAATTTATTTATACCTTATAATATAGAGAAGATTTTCCGAAAAAAAATGTGATGTGTTAAATGAGTTTTAAAACATTTTCAAAAATCACTTGCAAGCATCATAGTGGAATTTTTTACAATTAACTTTTTAAAACTGTCTACAGCGTATATCCTTCGATTTAAAACAAAAAACACTCAAATACATTAAAAATTATACGCTGTAGATAGTTTTAAAAAGTTAATTGTAAAAAATCACACTGTGATGCTTGCAAGTGATTTTTGAAAATGTTTTAAAACTTTGGCCGATTTTAAGAGGTCGACTTAAATCTCACGTGGAATTGCCCACATATATTCGTTTAAATATTAAATTATTTGTATTTGCATATTAAATACGTTTTAAAATATATTTAATATTCATATTCTTTTTATTTTTCTACAATTTGAATATAATGTACCCGGACGTTATGTAGATTGATTTAATAAAATTTTGTAGAAATATTGAATTAACTTGCAGGGTTTTAAAAATTTTATTAAAATGTAACCATGAGAAAATTATATAATAACAATACCTATCTAAACCTATTATAAAATAAATACTTAAAAAAATGTTGATTTTTAAAATTATTCTAAGAATTAAATAATTTCCAGCTCTAATGAATAGTTTTTACTTTAGACATTTTAGATTTGAAATAAAAATTTTACAATGCAAGTACTTGCAGTTGTTGAATCAATGTTTAGCTGTAAAGAAAATCGTAGTGCTTCGTAACCCTTCTCTGGCTCTGTAAAGAAGAACAATGAGCAATCTTGATGTTCCGTTCCCAAGGGCATTTATAGCGTGAAACAGTACCGGAAGTCCGCCTTGTGCCCTCGCTAATAGCAACTGTATTTTCACATGACCCTGTCTCCGACGAATTGAGTTTAACTCTCTTCACGTTGCTTTGACAAAGTCAGCTGTGAAAATCTATATAGAATTTTGCACTATAGAAAATTTACAACTAAATCAATTTTAGAGCAAATTTCACAATTTTAATTCTATTTAAACATCGCTGCTAAATTGAAATTTACATTTTATTATTTTCAAATTGTTCGAACGCTTTTTATTTCTAATTTATAAAAATGGTTTATTTTATAAAATAGATAAATGAATTATCTAATATTGTACAAAAAATAAGGGTTAATATTAACTCGATTGGGTTAATGTTTGAATAAGATATAAGAAATGACAATTTAAAATATATTTTACACTACCTTCCATTGATCAAGTTTACATTACATTGAAAAAATATCAAAAATTGTTATAATATCATTAAGTATCCAATTAGATTATTCGTTTCAGTCGTGTATTAATGATTTTTTTAATACTAAATAAAATAATTTCCAAAAATAAAAATATATAATTTAAAC